AACAACACATCATGCTCATGTTGCGACCCTGTTCAATCTGCGCAAAATCATTGCTGACGACAAATTGAAGAATGATATAGCTAGCTCTGAAATATATGACACATCAGTGAGCCAATGGAACACTACTGGAAGTATGACGGTACCACGTGAATATCATACTGCAACTCTACTCAATACGGGCAAAGTTCTGGTCACTGGTGGCATGTCAAATGACGCTTACCAGGCTAACTGTGAAATATATGATCCATCAACGGGTCTATGGAACGCTGCTAAAAACATGGGAATACCACGTGCTTTTCATACTGCAACTCTACTTAATTCAGGCAAAGTTCTTGTTATAGGTGGGTCTACCTTTGGGACAAGCGCTGTGACTAGTTCTGAGATATATGACCCATCAAGGGACACATGGAGTCCAACTGCAAACATGTCCATACCACGTTCTTCTCATACTGCAACTCTGCTCAATTCAGGCAAAGTACTTGTCACTGGTGATGCGGCTAGTTCGGAAATATACGATCCATCAACGGGTCAGTGGGACTCTCCAGTCATCATGGCAATAGCACGTTCTAATCCTACTGCAACACAGCTCCAGTCGGGAAAAGTTCTTGTCACTGGTGGCGTCGAATCAGCTAATTATCTTGCTAGTTCTGAAATATATGATCCATCTATAGACCAATGGGACACTACTACAAGTATGGCAATAGCACGTCGGTTTCATACAGCAATTCTGCTCCGCTCGGGCAAAGTTCTTGTTACTGGTGGTGTAGGATATTCTGATTTTCTGGCTAGTTGTGAAATATATGACCCAACAACAGGCCGATGGAAGAATGTTACTAGTATGACAGCCGAACGTTCTTCTCATACTACCACCCTACTCAAATCGGGCAAAATTCTTGCTACTGCTGGCTACGGATATACCGGTTATTTGGATAGTTCTGAAATATATGATCCATCAACGGGCAACTGGAGCCCTACAGAAAACTTGTCAACAACACGTGCTTCTCACACTGCAACAATGCTTAATTCGGGCAAAGTTCTAGTCACCGGTGGCGAGAGATTGGGCAGTTAAATGACTACTGTTGAGACATACAAATGGAAGCCATCGAAAGAGGAGTTTATGGAACATCTTTCATAAGCCGACATTTTTCTCATAAAAAAATCGTTTCAAAACTAGTTTTTTGCGACGATCTCTACAAAAGCTAATATATGACGGAAAATATTTGAATGACTAAACTATTGATTTTTTATACCAATAGATGAAAGAAAGTGATCTCCTTACAATGGAGCTTGATGAAACTGCACGAAAACCTATGATTTAGCTGAAAAAACAATATATCCATATAAGTCAACAATTGTTCACCTTCCACTTCTGGTACTCTCACAATTCGTTCAATCTTAATAGTGGTGTGGATGTGGGTGTGACTGGAACTTTGCCCGAATTAAGCATTG